TCTATGAAAAGATATCCTGGTTTTATTTTTAATAATAGCTGCAGCAACTTTCCTGGTCTTGCTCTTGAGAGTGAAAAAGTGTTTTCCCAACCAAAGTTTCCAGCAGTGCATCACAGAACTGAGAACATAGATTCACTGTGAGGATGCCTGGAGACTTTTAATAGCAGCTGTCTTTTATTTTTTATTCTTTTTCTGCTATTAGTTTTGTACAGTGATTTAAAGTCTGAAGTCTCCATTTTTATGGAATGCACTTCACAGAATGTTTCTTTAATGATTTTTATTCTTGCAGACACTGACAGTAGCTATTTCAACCCCTCTCTCTGTGTTCCTCGTGTGGGTGACCTGAAGGAACATTCCAGGCTGGAGAGGGCGGTGGCTGTGGGGTTGATCTCCAGGCTGGGCCGTGCTCACACTGGTGGTGCAGGGCCGGCCTGGCCCCACAGCAGCAGGGTGGGGCTGTTATGGAGCTCAGAACACTGTTCTTCTGCAGTGGAATTCAGTGGCTTTCTCACACTGCAACACTCTTCCCTTGCCCAGGTCCTCACTGAAGGTTGTCAAGGCAGCAGCCCAGGTCCTGAACACGCTGTGGCAGTACCGAGACCTCCGGAGCATTTACAAGAAGGTAAAGTACAGAGTCAGCCTACACGGGAAAATGGTGCCACAGAAACTCCTCATTTATTTATAACTCACCATTTATTCTGATTTGTTTTCTTTTTGCCACTCCACAGGATGGATGGAATCAAAGTCACTTTATTACACCAGTATCAACACTGGAGAGAGAGAGATTCAAATCCCACCCTTCTCTATCCACAGGCAATCAGCAGATGTCACCTGTCATGCAGTCAGGTCAGTCAGGGAGGGCAAAGGGGACCTGCTTTCCATGTTTTTAACTCAAAGAGCCTCTCTGGTTGCTACTAATTCCATCTAAAACATGGAGGTCAGGCTGTCTCCCCTTGGTGCTTGAGCCAAGTCCTTCAGGTGCTCTGGGTGTTCCCTGGGCTGTTCCTGCACAGTGAGATCCTCAGCGTGCACAGCTGGACGTTGGTGCCAACCACTGCCCTCTGCAGAGCTGCTCCCCCTGCGCTGTGTGGGCACCGTGGACGTGGGTACCTGACAGCAGAAACAGCGACAGACCCACAGCGAGGAGCCCGTTGTCATTCCCAACTATGTCATGTCCCACTAGGATGAGCAACCAAATACAAAAATGTTACTTTTCTGACTCCTCCTCGTTTATTTTTCGCCTTTGTTCCTTTAGCGCCTTCAGTGCTATTTACATCTTCCCAAGGGCTGGTACAAAACCTACCTGAAGCCTTCTATTTTGTCTTCCTTTCACATTTTATTTTATCCAATTTACTCAAGACTCTCTAGAGCAGATCTCTGTTAATACAGAGAAATACCCACCTACCATGGCTGCTAAAATCAGTGGCCAGTTCCTACAATACTCTTGTTCAATTCTTTACATAAAAGTAACAGCCCTCACACATTCCTTCATGACATGGTTGACTTGAAAAACAAGGGCTCCACGAGGGATTTCTTTTCCTCCAAGAAGTAAACTGTAGTGTCTTTTATGCCAGAGTTCCTCTCAACCACCAAGGAAGCAAGTACGGCGTAGGCTCAGGGAACTGACTGGATTCTACCCAAGTGTAAAAGGAGATTCCGATACCGTCACATTCCTATCTGGGCACTTTCTCTCCCCGGATACACCAGCAGAACAACTGTGTTACTCCAGTTCTTTTAATGGCAAGTAGGAAGTAGATGAGCAGCTCTAACATAATATTGAGAGGCTGTTGTACTTCAAAGACTACGTAGTAAAAACTCCTCAGAGGAAGTGTTGCTTTCCTGCTCCAGAGCGTGACAAGGCCAAGGGGAGGCAGTGGAAGTTGTCACCAGGGTGGTTCACCCAGGAACAGCTGTGACTGTTCTGTCCTTTCCCACCTCCCAAGTTGTGAACCCTCATGGCAGGAAGGGGTGAGGAAGGTTGGGTGTGTGAAAGGCGTCTGTTTCTTCTGAGAACCTCTCTTTTCCCACCAGTTGGCAGCACGTCCTCGTCCCCGGCTCTGCTGGGGATCAGGGAGCCCCGGCCCGAGTACGACAGGACACACCCCTCTCTGCAGTATTACAGTAGCCAGGGCGATGTCATGGCACACAAGGACATCTACACTGGTAAGGGACCAGCTGGGAACTGCACTGGGGAAAGGCTCCTTGGGGGAAGAGTTCAGTCACACACAGGCACTTCCAGTAGTGGGCTGGTTGTACCAACTGTTGCTTCCCATTTCCATTGGTTGTATTCGGTGCTGTGGCACAGGGCAGGGTGTCACCTGGCTCTGCTGATCTCTGTAAAACTGCCCCAGGGCCAGAGTAGATCCCTTTACATATTGGGAGGTGAGAGGTGGTTGGAATTCTTATTTTTATTTAAAGTACTATTACAGAAAATTGTTTTATTCACATTATATGATGATGTTATAAATTATAACATGCAGTTGTATGTTATAACATTATATTACTAAATTATACCAAAAGATCAGAATCTTTTCTCTGATATCCCTTTTCCTTCTCACTATGTGACACAAGTTGCACACCAGTAGATGATTGTCTCTAAGGAGAAGGAAATGCCTTGTTTTAAACATTATGAATCTGTAAAACAAAAACCAGCAACATAAAAAAGCCTCTTGGCTTCACTGTAACTGCTGCTGAGGGACAACATTTGCCTTTATTGTGTTATTACATTTTATCATTAGTAGGTGCTAAAATCTGCAGATTTAATTGTTTGCGTGCTACATAATAGGCAAAATAGAAGCCAATAGACTTAAGAGATGGAAGAATAAAGACTGAAGTTTATCCTTAAACTGTTTTCTGCCAGGTTCCAGCAAAGCTTCCCCAATTTACATCAGTTCCTATTCCTCACCAGCGAGAGAACAGAACCGACGGCTGCAGGTGAGCCCGGAGCTGCCCAGGCTCACAGGGGGGCTGTGGCTCTGGGCACTGCCCTGCCCCAGCCCCAGGGCTGCTGTGCCTGCTCCCTTACGAGTCCTCAGGGTGGGGTCCAAGACCTCTGCTCTGATTTGATTTGGGCTTGGGGGGGTTCGTAGGTGTGGTTGGGTTCTGTACCTTCTACAGCTGTGCTCTGAAGTTGTGTTCCCTTCCCAGGGATGTGGGAGGAGACATGCTGCAGGCTCAGGGAAATGTACCATTTCCTTGGGTACATTTCATGGAGGTTTGAGACCTGTGTTACAGTGTTACTGTCACTGGTAGAGCTGCACTTGGGAAAGGTTCTTTACAATGTGTGTGAGTTTAAGAAACAAGTATTTTCTCTGTTGATTATACCTTGAAAGCTTATTTTTCTATCGTTTTGCCAGCAGCATCAGCAATTATACTACAGCCAAGAAGATACCACCAGGAAAAACTACGATGCCTACCGGTTGTACCTGCAGTCCCCACACAGCTACGAGGACCCCTACTTCGACGACCGAGTTCACTTTCCTGCTGCTTCAGATTACACAACACAGTATGGACTGAAATCAACCACCAATTATGTAGACTTTTATTCCACCAGACGATCTTCTTACCGAGCAGAACAGTACCCGGGCTCCCCTGACTCCTGGGTGTAGCACCAGAGAGAACAACCCAGCATGGTTCTCGTCTGGCTCGAGAAGGACTGCAACGGCCCCGAGTGGCTTCGGTGATGAAATGCGAAAGTGAAAGACAAGAAGGAACAAGGAGGATTTGTTTGGGGTTTTTTTTGAGAGAGGAATTGTCAGGAGGAAAACTGGCAGGGACGGTTTTGCTCTGTTTAGGTGTTAGGTATCATTACTTGTAGCTCCTGTAGTCTGGTGAGGGTGTGGGCGATGTGATGAAAGGTTTGAGAATTGAGTACAATGAATTTGGAAAGTGTGTAGGTCAGAGCAAATTAAAGCTGATTTTTTTTTATGTGAATAAAAGTCTTGGTCTGATAGTTTGTACAGAAAAAATCCCCCAGCTGCCCCTGTTTCCTCGCTATTACTAAATGTCAGGATTGTATGCTACTGCGTCGTGTACATTTCTGCGTGCGTGTAAATATGGAAACGCCACCTCAGTCTCAAGTGCCATCCATTTGTAATGCAGTGTGTCATTGGAAAAGGAATCTGAAACATAGTGCACAAAAAGAAATCCAAGAGAAAAAAAGCCCAAACTTTAAAAAATGAATCGTGTCATTTTGAAGCACAAAGTCCGGTCCAGTACATCCACACCTCTCCCATTCCCTGCCTATTTCATAAGGAACTTCACTGCCATTTTCTATGCACATGGAATAACAATAAATATGGAAGTCTCATCCATGGAAAGCTGTTCCCTGTTCATTTTTTCTTATTATTTTCTGTGTGTGATATTCAGAAACAAATACCATGACCATGAATTCTAATTGTATGTTTTTCAGCAGGTTAAATATATCAAAGCATTTAGGCCATTTCCCCAGCTCTCTCCAGTGGAAATGAGTCAGGCTGGCAGCCCAAAGTGCTAAATCCTCCACCTTCCTACCAGGATTCGTGTTTTTATTTTTGATATGGGCAATCCAAGGTACTTCCGAACTGAAGCCTGTTTTCTCTCCATCACTCCTCAACTCCTCCCTTTCTCCTCCCCAAGGAAATGAAGGTCACCTTGCTGTCATAGAAATTACGGTCTCCATTTTAACTACCTTATGCTTGGGTTTCTTTCCAATAAAAATGATTATTTAAGTACCTAAATCACAAGCTTTCCTGTTGCTGAACAGTCTGTTACCTCTATACTGTCTGTAACCACCATTATTGCTTCCCATCACTGCACTTCCCTTGGGTTCCCAGTGTTTCCAGTATCCTGATGGCACCAGTGACACAAGAGCAGGTAAGCACAACAGCTCCAGGCTTGGGTGACATGGCAGAGTCACTGTTTGTATTGAAACGGGTCCTGCTAAGGACTAAGCATCTGCTCTTCCACTGTGAACTCTGACACTGCAAATATTTCAAAATAGACTCTTTCCCTATATTTTCCAGCTCACTGACATCCCTCCAAGGAGTATCCTGCCATCATGGCTCTTTCAGGAAGCTGCTATTCCAATGGCACTTACTCCAGTAAGTGCCAATTTATAACCCCCGCCAAGGAAAAGGTACATTTCTTGTTCACAATCAGGTCCACTATGAAGTTCTGACTGTCGTGCCTCTAGTGGCTCATCACTCTGACATAAAAAGTTGCTTTTCTGTGCTTGTGTAGAAAAAATCGACAGATGAGAAGTGATTGGAGCTGGGCAGCTCCAAGGAGTTCAACAGCACACGACACGTACAAACTGCGAGATACTAAAAGATATTTTTCTTTCCTTTGCTTCCCACCATTTGACTCTTTTCTGAAGGTGAAGGTTTAAACCCATGATAAACAGGAACAAAATGAAGGGGATTCTCATGTTTAACTTTGAGGAAACAAGTGCTGCTGTTATGATACAACAGAAATCGTGAAATCTGTGCAATGTTTCCATGGCTCAGGGTGCTGCAATGTAATTCTTTAGAATTGATTCTCTTATTCCATTACCCAGCAATACTTTTTGAAACAAGGACACTTGGGTGGATAAAACACATGATGACAAAGGTATATCTTTTTAGTCCTTCTGTGAAAAAAAAATTGATTCTATAACTAAAATTATCCAGTAGGGTTCTTCTCCTTAATGATATTACCCTTTACCTTTCAGCACCATCACACAGTGCCTGGACAATTCTTTGTCTCTTGTACTCTGTGAAACAACTGGCATCCAGACCAGAACCAGGTCTTGAACTTGTCAGGTCTCCTACAAGAAACAGGTAAGTTTTACAGATGTAAATCCCACAGATTTTATCAGACACATAGTATAAGCAGTAGTAAACAATTATATCAATGCAAACCCACTGACAATAAGGCTGCCTTCACTAATTGGTCTTGTCCATGCTTTAGACACTTAACAATAGTGTTCTCTCTAACAGTATTCATTTTGTGCTGAACTACTATAAGCAGAAAATAAAACCCAGGGAGGGGCAATTAAAGCATGTGTTAATAAAAAACAAGCTATGCCTGCACCAGAATATAAAAATAAGCCATATACCTGCACCAGAATTTTTGTTGTCTCCATCAGGCTCCTGCAGCATCTAAATCCAGCTCTGTTGGTTCAGTTGAAAAAGGTATTGCCTGTCTGTCACTGAACTTAAGAAAACAGCATTCAATTCCCAGATGTAAAATTACTATCAGTTTATACCAGTAGCCACAATCTAGTAATTCTGACATTTGAAAACAAGCAATACTGGAGATGAGATGGATAAGGGAAAATACTGCAGAGTCATGAGCAATAGATTTTTAACAGCAGAGAGAGCTGAATTCAAATATGACACATGAGGAAGGTATTCCATGTGTCTGTGTGCTGAGTGCTTGCTTTAGATGTGGACTGTGCCTGGTGTATAATTATGCTAATAGCTGTTAGCCAGATTAGATCAGACAGTCTGCTTGGGAGCATGTTGATTCTTGATCCTGCCAAGTGACTTCTCAAACTTTGCAATCAGGTAATAACCTGCCTGTAGAATGCAGATTCTAAAGGAGGAATTGTCAGGAAAGATGAAGAGTTCCAGAGCACTGAGAGCACCACTCAGGAAAATTTCCTCTGACTTTTGTCTCTCTATTACAGTTAAAATCCTGTGTCTGCCCCCAGGCTTTCCTACATCTGCCTAGGTGGAAAAAAACACATTCTGAAAATACGTAGAACCATTATAATATAAATTCCATTCTTAATTCAGCCGTTCACAGACTACTACTATTAAAAGAAATCTATCCCCAGCATCAGGCGAACACCTCTGAAGTCTGATATTTATGTGATCAGGAAATGGGACTGAGGATGGCAGGAACAGCAAAAGATTTCAGCTGCACTATCCCATGGTCACAGAAGGATGGTTCTCTCATTCTTCTCACCCAGACAAACCAGCCTAATAATTTCTAATAAATGAAAGCATTACATAAAATTAGGCTTACAAATCTCATCTGGTGCTGTGGCATTGTTGAGGCAGTGCCAAGGGCTGCCTGTCAAGAACGAGGTGCTCCAACAAATACTGTGTAGATATCGTTTCCATCCACAACAGCTTCTGGTTTAAAGAGAGGAACCAGTGACAGAGGTATTGAAGTCAAGAGGGCAGAAGAAAAATAAAAAAGAAATTGTAAACTGTATTTAATATTGTAAGGAATCCACAACATGAACTTATGATTTCTCATTTAAACCAAGTTCCCATGCTTTTCCCAGGAATTCCTGGAACAGATGTACAATGGCACTGAACCTTGTCATTACTAATGCTTTAGGCAGCACACCAAAGCTGTGTTACATGACTGCCTTGTGTGGTAAGCCATGAAACTTCACCTCTCCAATCCAAACAGCTCAGGCAAATAAACTGGAAAATCAGTATTTTTCTGCTGAGGCAGAGTGACATGACATGAAAATCCCTTACTACTGACCAAGTCCTTCAGGATGGGCTTCTTTTGTTATCTCTCCTGCAGATCGTTTTATCTGAAAGAATTTGTTTCCCCAATCAAAATTGCCATCATGCACTTCAGGCTAAATGCTTTTGGGCAGAGACATGCAGCACTATTGACTTTAATATTTGCAAAGTAAGTTGCTTTTCTAGGGAGGAAATTGCTGCATTGCAAAGCTATTTCCTGCCTCATACACACAGAATTAAATATCAGAGAGATCTGGTTTAGACTGGATGTCCTTTCACTTTTCCTGCTCCAAAAATCCAAGCCAGCAGAAGTTACCCATAAAGGTGGTTGATGTGCTGTAAATCCTTACCAGTTTCTTACTCACTCTTCTCTTTCATGTTTTTTACTTCATACAAGGGAAATGTTGTAAAATCAGACATGAACAATCTGCTTGAGCCACCGATGCTGGGAAATTTTTACCTGAAACCTACTACAACTAATGATACATATTTTCTATATTAAGCAACAAAGAAAAATAATGGAAGTTTCTCAGTTCACAGCAGTTTTGGATGCCATTCTCATTGGTATCAAATTTTATAACTGATGATAAAAATATATTTTGAAAATATATTTTTAACACAAATGTCATTTTATGGACATTCTGTATTAATTAAGGGTGAAATTATGGTGCTGCTGAAGGCAACGAGACTTCATTGTGGCCAAAGAGTTAATTTCATATCACAGCTTTTCAAAGAACAATGAAATTCAGGCTACATTTTCTGAATGACAAAATTGGATCTTTTGACTGAAGTGATTAAATACATCATAATTACAATGTTATGACAGGTGGCTTTTTTTTAAAATAAATTCTGTGAAACATTTATACAGGTTAAGTAGTATAACTCCTAAGTTTGACGGGTTTGTTAAAGGCTACATTGTTGTGGTTTTGGAGTGTGACAGTAAGTTTTTACAGGCCTGGAAACAAAGGGGGGTTTGACATTTTTTTTTTTGCTATGTAACTCCTCACAGCAGAGAGAAATCTCTGTGTCTAACAGTACCCTGGGCTGGATTTCAGAGTAAAGCCTCTCACTGGTAGGCTGCATGTGTTTTTTGCAGCACTCAGAGTGTTTTGAAACTGTCTCTGATTCTAAGGGGTTCTTTCTCCTACGTTAACAAGGGCTTGTGAGTATCACCGTACAGTTTGGTGTTATTGCCTACAGATTAAGCTGCTTCTTTAAGCACCCAGGGCAATAATCAGTACTTAAGTCAGTTTTGTACACTGAAATGCAAGGAGACTCGCTTAAATTACTAAAGAATTTTATAATAAATTAATTGGATCTTTCATATGTCTTGTTCAAACTAACAAAGTTCAGCCTTTGCGCTCCAAAGGATTTGGAAAACCTCCTGACAATGACAGACCACGCTTTATAACGTTAATGTGGCTTTGCCCAGCAGCTTTGTTGCTGTCCTTTCTTGGCACTTAAATCCTTCCTGCTCATGCTGTTTCTCTCCTGTATTTATGACAGGATAGGTGATCGATATGTAAGCTATTGTATCTTAGCCAAAAATACAATTTCAGTAAGGTATAGGCAGCAGGATCACCAAGATAAAGATCTTTGAATGTGGATTATATGAGTAATGCATTAGTAATAAAAGATGGTAAAATCATAAAATAATATAGAAATAGGATGGTGAAATCAAAAACTAATGTAGAAATAGGAAGTATTGTGAGGTATTTTTAATGTTTGCGAGTTTTGAGCAGATTCTTAAGAAAAAAGGGAAGGAGAATCATTTTGATAACTGATGTAGAAAAAATAAGGTCTTTGTTAGTATGTGATGACCAGAAGACTCAAACTGCTTATGATGATATGTTAGGGCCTTAAAACAGATAGAAAAAAATAATTTTTATTGCCTTTGTTGTGTAAAACATCAATCTTTGTTAAAGTCAGTTTTTTTTTTTAACGAGGGCATGTGAACACCATGTTTTTGCTTCTGCCTCAAGTAGACACTAATGATTGAAGAGGGGAAGATTTACCTCACTGAATCAAGACCTTTGAATCCACAGCAATAATTTTAAAAGTCACCACCCCTCACTCCCCTCACCGCCCCTCAACCGTCACCGCCCCTCACTCATCGCCCCTCACCGCCCTGAGCCCTCACCGCCCCTCACTGCCCCTCACTCACCGCCCCTCACTGCCCCTCACTCACTGCCCCTCACCGCCCCTCACCGCCCTCAGCCCCCACTGCCCCTCACTCATCGCCTCTCACCGCCCTGAGCCCACACTGTCCTGAGCCCCCACTGCCCCTCACTCATCGCCCCTCACCGCCCTCAGCCCCCACCGCCCCTCCCTGCCCCTCACTCATCGCCCCTCACGGCTGCTCGCTGCCCCTCAGTCAACACCCCTTCCCGCCCGTCCCCGCCCTCAGCGCCGCTCCCCGCCCCGCCCACCCCGCCCCGCACACGGCGCTGCCGCCCGATCGGTGTGCGGTTCTCGGCGCTCCCGGGCCCTGGTGCGCCGTTCCCGGTCCCGCCATGGCGCGGAGGAGGCGCGTCCCTCCCGCAGGTAGGGGCCGGGGTCGCTGCGGGGGCGGTGTGAGGGGCTCTCCCGCCGCTCCGTCCTGGACAGACGCGGCTCCTCCGCGGGGAGCAGCGGCCGTGCGGAGCAGGGGTGGCGGGGGGGGGTCCGTGGTGCGTGGCCCGCTCGCCCCGGCAGGTCCCGCACCCGCCCCGTCTCTGGCGCACTCGGTGTGCGGGAGCGACGGGGACAGAACGGGCGTCCTGCTCTAGTGAAATACCTGTTTAGGGTGCCAGCCCTATTCCTCGCCTCCTGTTGTAACGTGAAAAACTTCCTTTCCCCCCTCTGGTGGCACTCTGAGGGAGCCTTCGATCGCGGCCGCCTGCTCCCGCCGCCGCGCTGCCGGCGCGAGGGTTCTGTGGGAGTAGTAGCGGATTGTGAGGGGGTTGTAGCGAGTGTTTTAGCGCACGCCGGGGTTTTTGAGGAGCCTGTAGGTGCGTACAGCGTGTGAGCGGCTCCTGGGCCAGCCCGGAGCTGTGTGGAGCACACGAGTGCGTGTCCCGCCTGTCCTGGGGCACAGCGGAGCTGCTGCGGGCTCCTGTGGAGCTGAGGGACAGTCACTGCATGGACAGCCCTTAGAGCTGAGGGACAGTCACTGCAGGGACGGCCCTTGGAGCTGAGGGAC